GGAGCATTCACGTGCTGCCTGCTACCTAAAGGTATGTAGAAAAAACATTTAAAGCTGTCTCTATGTCTGAATCTCCAAAACTTTCTGAATCTCTCCAAATAGATTTGGAGGGTTCTGACTGATTCATAGAGATTAAAGCATCCTCTGATTTGATTCGGATTCAGAGATTCAGCCACCGAATCAGGCTGAATCTCCACCGAATCAAATCAGGGACCAAAGCTTCACACAGCCCTAGTGCCTTTGTGTTTGCATGCAACACATCCATGGACACAACGCTTTAATTCATGGTGAGCCAAGTAAATTGCGCCAGAGGAGTTTTACTTTAATGCATTGGAAAGACTTTTAAACTGTCTGGAAAACATGCTCGTGCAAACAGTCATGTCACTGCAGTGCAAGAAAAGGCAAAAAATATGGCGTGTACAAACACCTTTCAATTATAAAGAAAATATTTTTAAATTAACCGGTTAAAGCAATAAGTGTACTGCATGGTGGATCTTGGAACTATAATAATTTCTTTCCCTCCCCTATTGCTACAATTATTTTGTAACTTTTTACTTCATACTGGCTACATCTACATGAGACACTGACTGTGCACTTATTACTGTGCAGTCTGTTGGTACTTGCATACATAAGTACTAAATGACCATGCAATAACTGGTGTTACTGCACAGTAGTATCCCCAAAAGGCTTTTTGGTGATGCTGACTGTACAGAAGCTCATTACCACTGTGCAGTAGCATAGCATCATGTTTTATGTCACATGACGTTACTGCTCCGTAATAATGAGCTACTGTGCAGTCAGTATCTCGTGTAGTTGTGTCCACTGAAGCATTATTCTCATCGCGTAACTTCTTAGCTATACCAATCTCTTTTCTGGAAGCTTACATGAGAGACATTAACAAATGTTAATCCTGCCAGATGATAATGATATGAGCAAATGATAATACAAAGATGGATTGTAGTATTCTCCCTCACTTAGGCTGTAACTTGAGGGACTTAAGGTACCAGAATCACTCTTATTCTTGCAATAGGATGTTACTCAGTAAGAGTATCAGAATCTAGCTCAGAGCTCATATGTCAGTGTCAGCATCTGTCTCTGATAACACACATGTCAATACATTGCCCTTTTAAAAATAAATAATCATTTGCATATTTTATCTGCATTGTACTATATAATGCAGCACAGGAACATTTCTGCAATAAATCATGTCTGCTGTCAGGTATGGCTTACCCGTTCCAAGAAACAATACATGGTATCTCCCATCAGCAGCACTGACTCGATCCACGGCAATCTTTGTATACTTATAATTTGTTCCTGTCCGAATGATTAATGGCCTCTTATGTATAGGATAAATGGGATTAAACATCAAGGGATGATTCCGGATAAAGGTCACAACATCATCTGGGAACTCCTTGGTTGTCCGGATGTTCGGTGTGAATGCTCCTCCTGGACACTGTGAAGAAAAGTATTATTCATAATACTACTTAACAGTACTTTAGGCTATCAACAGCTTTTCATCATCAAACTGTTTACAAACACTGACTGAAGCAACCGAATCAAGCTTTTGAAGCCACACTTCATTCTCCATCTGAAAATGATTATATTGAAATAACAAAGAGCTCTACTGGAATAGTTGTGTCTACAAACTGCCCTTAATTGATACAAAACAAATGCAAACATTTTGTGTTGTTAAATCTGCACTGATGGCAAAGATCCATATTGGATGGGCCTAATCTTGTGTTCCTTGTACTTCTTACTGCAAAGAATGTAAGTGATTGACATGGGAAAGATGCAAAGAACTTTCCCTGATTAGTACAAATACATAGGCCAAAATATTGAGTTGGATGTCTAATTGCAGAAACCTACATGGAATAGGCTGTCTGCATGCTCTATTATGCAGGGTATATGTGCCTGCATTTGGACAAATCCAGTGCAAAAGCACAAGGAAAGGAGATGATACAAAGCAACTTTCCAGATCTCTTCAGACTTTACGCTGGTCTTATACAATCTCATTTCTTGTACTCTGACGGTATAACTTCACTGGAGGGTAATCAGAACACAGAATTCAGTACACAGGTTCAAGGTCCTCACTACTGCCATGCACATTTATTTGTTTTGCCAGAGCTTCTAGGGCCATATGCAAAGGTTCTCAGTGCAGCAATTTGCCAAGTCACTCAGGGAAAAATCCTACTTCATTTTATGTACCCAAATGGCAGTAACTCAGTTCTGTGACTGCCATTGTTGGCCCTTACGCATCATTTATGATACTACTCTATATGCAGCATGGACAGATAAGCATGCACAGTAGTACGCAGCTACACAAGAGACTGCCCAAGGTGAATATAGGTCACAAAACTGTACTCAGCAAAAACCCAGGGAGGGTAGACAGGCTAGATTTGCACCTTATCGGAGATCAGATTTAAGTTAGACATTGGGAAGAACTTCTTTACAGTAGGGGTTGCCAGAATCTGGAATGGGCTTCCAAGGGAAGTGGTTTTTTCCCCTATCTTGGGGGTCTTTACAAGAAATGTAGACATGCTCCTAACCCTAGCGCTTTTTCCTGCCCAGGGCAGGGCATCAGACTCAATGTTCTACTGAAGTCCCTTCTGACCCTAGCATCTATGAATCTTATAGACTAATTAAACCAGAGATGGATAGCATAAAATGTTGAGTCTGAGCTAACCATGCAATATACATAGAGTGGGGCCCACCCATGTAGTGGTTAAGACATTCACACAGGAAGCGAGATACCCAGGTTTTAGGGCCCCCCTCACCCAGCATGAATTTGAATCTACATCCCTTTGACTTTACAACACAGTGCTTGAGCTACTGCAGGTTAGGCACTACACAAGTTGCTCTGCAGCCCTCCTCTTGGAGCTAGGCTTGCCAACCCTGCAGGATTGCCCTGGAGTCTCCAGGAATTAGATATAATCTCCAGGAGACTGCTGAGAGTCATCCAGGAGTTAAATGATAGGACATTCATTAAAATAAATATTAAATGTTGAATCCAATTTATACAGTAGTCCAATGGGTTTTTAAAATGTAATAATAATGTACATTTGCCTTCCTGAGTACAGTACAGTAGATCAGTCATTAACGTCATTACATCATGTTATGAAACCTCCTGGAATAGATTCAAACAGAGTTGTAACCCTACTTGGAGATGGTCCCATGGGCAGCTAGGAGAGGGAAATAAGTGGGGCCATGAAAAATAAAACATGGTTCAGTGAGACAGATACTTCTCTAGAAGGGTGAGAGCCCTAGATCATAGCTGGGACCCTGTAACAGTACTGGGCCCCATAGTGCAGGTAGCTCCTGCTCAGCTGCTTTCTGCAAATTTTCCTTAAAGTAACAGAAGTCCCTGGCTCCCTGTTCAGACCCATTTTCCTGGTGGGGCAGAGACTTCCTCACTGCCCTCCACCCAATTTATCCAATTAATATTAAATACAAGGTGCACCAGCTTAGCATGTCCACACTGCATATAGACTGGGATCTCAAACTATGTGTAAATGCTAAAAATGGCAGTCACTCATATGGATGACTGCCATTTGGTTACGTAAAGTGAAATAGGATTCTGCTGTCTGTGACTGCTGGTGAACTATGAGAGAACATGTCTATTCTGAGCATAAATGGAGAATTATGAAAAGGCCATGGAGACATGGTATCAACATTCAACACTTAAGTGATTTAACTGGCACCTTTATGGCAAAGAGGGCAAGTTAGCACTCTAGAGAAACTGGCAGTCACACTCTAGCTTGTAACCTCAGCCAAACAGCTTTACTAGGCTTAAAGCAATACCAGACCTAAGTGAGAGAATTTTGTATATGAACAGCATGGGACTGGGTGGGTGAGATTAGAAGCACTAGTCACCCAATTTAGGGTCTATGCTAATGCTGAAATAAAGACACAGTTGAGGGTGTATGACTGTGGAATCCATGTACAAACAGAGCTAGTAAAAACGCTGGTAAGTTTGGGAGAGTAGATTCAGGGTCCCATCCAGAAACTGTCTGAGAACCATTGTGAACTTGCTCTTCCCCATACTTGTGTTTGGAGTCATTTATTTATGAAGGACCTGGGACAAACATAATACTGTCTAGCTCTGGAGACTTTTGCTCATTGCACCTAGCTTAATTCTTAAAGTTTGGGCACATAAGCATGTTGCCATGAGGCAACCTAAGGTGTGACTTTATTGTATCCCCTACTCTGCAGTAACAGTCCAGGTTACTATGCCAAAGCAGTGTGCATGACCTTGCATTAGTTGATGCTGTACAAGTTTAAACACCAACTTTCCTCTCAGTAACTTGTGCATGTGTCTATAATCTGAGCTGTCTAGCATCTAAAAGCAAAAGTGTTCATTCAAATGCCAAGCCACACTTTAAGCAGGTGCCATAGAGCGACAGCAGAGCTTCCTGCCTTGCAGATTCATTCCTTAGATTGTGAGAAGATGATAAAGTCCCAGAGGCAGGCAATGCATTTCAAATAAACTATATCTTAGGGTAGAAAAGGAAGATTTTTTACCAGTTGGAAAGCAAGTTCCTTTCGATACTTCCCCACATATATCACAATCAGGAATAATAAAGTTCCACTGTGTGACAGAGCACAGTTGGGGTGCTCACCATGTGACTTGGACTGCAGTGGGCTGGAGAACAGCCAGCAGAGAAGGCAGCTGGGAGATACCCCAAGGATCATTTGTTTAGTGGGGGAGGTGTGTGGCAGAGCACCAGTGGAGTGCTCGCCACTCCGGGGCAGTAACAAGCTCTGTGAGAGCTTGCTTGCGGAGCAGCAGGGAACAGCTTCCCCCAAGAACCAGTTTAAGGGGGGGAGGTAGGTGGCAGAACACATCGGGTGTCTGCCACTTTAGGAGCTGGTGGCAGGTGTTGCACCTGCTCTGATGAGCAGCCATTTTAGATTTAGGCCAGCAAAGTGGGAGGCAGCAGGTTTGCTACCTGAGGCTGGGGAAAGAATATCTCCCAGTGGAGCTGCTGCTAGTGCTACAACTAGGAGTTAAGGGCAGGAGTTTATGGGGATGGCTAGAAGGCTTCTGATCCTGGGCACCCTGCCAGGGAAGGGTGCCCTGATGGGGCTCGTAGTGGCATGGGAACCTCCAGGAAATGCTAGGCCAGTTACCTCACCAGTGAAAGGCAAGGAAGGGCACCTTAACTTCAGCCTCTGCCTTCAGGTGGGTTATTTAACATCAGAGGCAGTAGAGGGCTAGACATGGCTGTGGCCACCTTAGCCCGTGTGGGGTACAAGACCCCGGAGAGTGAGAATGGTGGGCCAGGCACGCTGACGAGTGGCACCTGAGCCTGTGGGGGGTCTTTTGCCCCAGACCTCAGTGTGGGGGGCAAAGTATTTGCTTCAGTGGAGGTGGGGGTGCAAAATGGGGTGCAGAGGGGCACCAAATGGCCTGCACAAGAGTGGCAACTGGGAGGCCCTGGAGAGAGGGGCGACTAGAGAGTGGTAGTAGTGAGGCTGTCCGAACACCGGGGCCTGAGATGAGACCCTGTGAGAAAGGGGTGTGAAGTAGGCCCCAGTGAGCAGGGGGCTTGAGGGTAGGTCCTGCTAACATGGGGGCCTAGTTAGGTCCAGGTAAGCCTTCGGGCACCTGAGGCCTTTGGTGGGCTGGAGACCGATTGGGTGGGAAGTCTGAGGAAGAGCTGCAAGTAAACAATGGGGTGAGTCAGGAGGTCCTGATGGAAGGCAGTTGGGTGAGTGACATGGTGAGAGACCAGAGGTAGAGTGAGACCAGTGTTCTGCAAACTGCCCAGTGCTCACTCAGATGACTGGCAGTGGGAGGTGCCCAAAAGACTTGCTGGTCAGCGAGTGTAGGGAAACAAGGCCAAGGACCCTCTGGGTGAGGGCAGGGTGAGTGTGGCCCTGGGAAAAAAGAGGGGCGGTATGAGTGTGGGCCCACAAGGGGCAGTATAGAAGAGACTGTGTGAGAAGAGGTGGAGTAAGAGAGGCCTCAGTGAGAGGGAAGCAGTGTGAGTGTGGCCCGTAATAGGGCAGAACACGAGAGGCTTAACACTGTCCTGAACTGGGCCCGGCCTCAGGCCGGAGGAGAGTACAGCTGTTAGGAACATCTGTGAGGCTTGGGGTGCAGTACAGGGGTGGTTGGAGCTGCATACATAGGCCCAGGCTCTGCCTAATTAAGACCCTAATCATTTAACAGCACGGTGTCACAGTCGAGAATGGTGGGTGGCATGCCCAGAGGCATGTGGAAGATTAGCACTGTGGCTGGTTGGGGAGTTCCCACTTTGTCACCCACTCATAGCTATATATTATTCTGTATTTGGCAAACAACCATACTTGTGACTGATCAGAAGATCTATTTGTCCCATTGGGTTCTCATAAGGCAGCTACTCCAGCCTTAGAATACACAGGTGTACCCTAAGTTGAAATGAGAAGAAGAAAGACAGGCTGAGGAGAAATCAGGCCCAATACAGAGGGCTA